CGCGAGCCGATACAGAACACCTCTGGCATCCAGCGCAAACAGATCGGAGAGCTTCGCAATCTTCCGTAGTCGCCTGGGAGAGAATCGATCCAGGTCTCCACTCAGATAGGCTTTGACTTCTGCGATGGACTCATCCTGGTCCTGGTGCGCCTTAATTCTTCGCCACCGTTCAGCTTGGAACTCCAGCGGACCCAATGGCTCGCTGGATTCGGTCTGTTCCTGGGTTCTCGACCGGGTTAAGACCGCCATGACTCGGGCACAGTTGGGCAGTGGTGCTGACTCAGGATCCTGTTCGGCACAGTCCGGTGTCACCTCATCCGGTGTCGCTGCTGCCTCGGTCGCATCTCCATTCGGTACGTCTTGACCAGCTTCGGCTACATACGGTGTTACAACTACCGGTTTCATCAGCTTCTCGTGGATCTTCGACACTCGCTGCAGGTGGGTTCGCTCCTCTTCATCCTGTACGGTCCACGTGGCGCCAAGCGCTAGTGTCTTGGAGGTTAGGCAATCCGCGGCTGAGTTGCACTCACGCTTAACGTGAACCAGTCGCACCGTACCGAATCGCCCCTCCAGAGTTTTGAATTGGGATGCAGGTTGGGCTGGTTGCAATTGATCAGCCCTTGGACCTGCTGTATTACGATGTGAGAGTCTCCAACCACAATCAGGTCCGTGATCCCATGATCAAGCGCCATGGTCAACCCATTCAGTAAGCCGTGATACTCCGCGTCGTTTACCGTGACGTCGTTCAGAATGAATCCTTCTGCATCCAGTACGTCCCAACCGGGTAGGCTCCACAGAATGCATCCGCAGCTCCTTTGACGTGTCGATGTCTTCGCGGCTCCGTCGAAACTCAGCACGATCCCTTCAAAGTTGGCGTCCAACATTTCCACACTGATAACCAGCGGCGGCTTGACACGCCCATTGGCTGGGATCAGCGACTCCGCAATCCGGTCCAGATGCTCCCTGGGGGTAATACCCGCACCCAGTATAGCAGCCAGACCATCTTCGTCCCGCTGGACCCGGCGAACTTCCAGATCCCATTGAGATAACGCAACGCCCCATGGCACACAGCGTCCATCCGCAGATTTGGACTGGATCACCCACTTGATTACCGAATAACGGGTGTACACAATCAACGGGCACCCCTCCAGGATCGTCCTGAACACATCCAGCACTCTCATGACCGCAATGACTTCCTTCTCCGCGACGTGGTACCGAATCTCTGATTCATTCAGTACGCGCCCTGTGAAACGCACGGGCTGGATCAGTCCGTCATGCTCTTGGCCAAGGACCGCGCAAACGGTCCACTTGTTGGCGTGCGGGATGATGGTGAACGGCTTGGTTCGGTCCGGATCTCGGAGCAACGGGGTAGACACAATCTTCCGCTTCACAATCTCGAACGCCTCCTTTGCCCTTGACACGTCTCGATCGGCGCGCACCTGATCATCGCTCAGCTCGTACAGGACTGCGGCCACAACCGGGAAATCCTCGATAAACTTGTGGTAGTAATTCAGACTGCCCAAGAAAGACTGAATGCCCTTCAAAGTAGACGGGAACGACAGATCCAGTACTCCCTTGGCGATCTTCGGTGTCGCTCGGAGCCCTGCAGCACTGATCTCGTGCGACATGTACGGGATCGAGCGCTTACCGAATTCGCTCTTCGGCAGACTGACCGAAATGTTCCAGTACCGCAACCGAAAAAGTAGTGCATCTAGGTCGATACACAGTTGATCCCACGTAGGCGCCCCGTGCGCGATGTCATCGATGTACGAACTCCGTCCGAGGACAGGACCCATCTGCATCGGCGCCGGAATATTGCGCTGGAACACGGTCATCTGGTCCGTTAGTGCAGGAAGTTGTCGACCGGACAGAAGCTCCTCGTCAGATTCGGTACCACTCAGCGCGACATTGTCCTCTTGCGGCTTCAAGCCCAGATAATCCAGTACGTCCTGATCCACTTCGGCTTCCTCATCGGGCGGCAACCGAACAAAACCCCACAAGCAATTGTTGAGCATCTGCTGGTAGACCAAAGGAGCATTCTTCAGACCAAATGGCATGCGTCGCCACTGGTAGTGACCGAATGGCGACACGAACACCGAAATGAACTTGGCTCGCTCCGTCATCCTGATCGCCCAGAAGCCACTGGCCATGTCCAGGCTCATGAACCACATCGCACTCTCGAAACCAATCAGAAGGTCATCGATGAGTGGGAGTGGGTAGTTGGACAACTGGATGAAACCATTCACAAGTCGGTAATCGATGCACATCCGAATGTCGACTCCATTTTTCTTCAGCACGATCACGATTGGTGAAGCCCAGGGTGATGTGGACGTCTAGATCAATCCGGTCTCCAGCAACTTCTTCTGCAACTCATACACCTTCATCGCGAGATGCGGTGCGACCGAGCGAGCTCTCTGTGCGACCGGCTTGGCATCTCACACATCCAGATCGCAAACGACTCCACGAGCTGGGGCAGGTACTGCATTGCCGTCGCCTAAGAAAATCCGCGGGTGGTACTTCAGAACCCCACGCAACCGGAGTTCATCATCCGGTCTGCTCACACCAGGTTCATCAACATCTGCTTTGTCAATGTCGCATTCGGGGCTCAGATCCTGTACCTCCGGAAGGAGCGCAAGCTGATCTCGTAACTACGACAACAGATCGCTACCTTCGTGAATGTACACGGCAGGCTCAAGGTCCAGTTCTTCAGCATTCAGTCGCATAACCCGTTCGTACTCCATCTTGAGCTTCTGGACGGGAGTGCCGGACAGAATCTGGGAAGCTAAGTCGGACAGGTCTCATCCGGTCCGCCTTCCGACACTTCGTGTTCATTCGGTGCGACCGCGTCGAAAAAGGTGTCTTTATCTTCTTCCAGTGTGGCACTCTCATCCTGTGCGACCACGTAAAAAACTCGTCGTCATCATCCGATTCGGTATCATTGAAGGAGATTTCATCGCCGTTCTGACTGGCAGCCGGTCCCGGTATGTTGTCTGACTCGACTTCACTGGCCAGAGGAGTTAGGCGTTTGAACGACTCCTCCTCCTCAACCAGGTCTTGCAGGACCGAATCTTCAGGCAGTTCCACGATCTTGTCCGACTTGACTGCTGGATTCTGTAACACCGCTGTGAAACACGTCACGTCCTTCTTTCCGTTCGGATGCATCATCAATTTGGTCGGCCAGGTGTACTTCGCAGGTTCCACGGCGGGCGGTTCACGATCTCAGAGTGCTTGCAGGCGACGCTGCTCGCGCAACTTGCCCTGTTTCGACAAAGTGCTCTCGTAAATCAGCACATGCCATTCCTTGTACGCCCTCGATCCCGGACGGACAAAACGCCCCACTGATGGGAAAAATCCATACTCCACAATGTCGGCCAACGCTGTTCCGGCCGTCATCCAGAGGTTGTACTCCGAGATGTTCACCACCTTGACCGCCTCGGGCCAGGACTTCGCACCGTACATGATCTTGGTCACCCATCAGTCGCCACGTCCGGCCCACACCACTTCACGTTGCGGGTTGGCTTGGCCGAACCGAATGCGCACGACAGCTTCATCACCAGGTCGGAGATACAGGGTCTCCGGTGTTTGGACCGGCAACCTCATCCCTTGCCGACGCTGCACCTTGTCTCCGTACATGAGGACAGGCTCTTCACCCGGTAGCTGCAGAAGTCCTTCGCGGATGCACAACCGAATAATATATCCACACCTTCACCGATATTCGCGACCCAGACATCCATGACATACACCACTCTCGCACCGAGCGTGATCTTGACTTGGGTGCTGGCAGAGGTGTAGGTGGGTTTGCCACCTAGTCCGGACACCTTGATCTGTTTGTGTCGGTTGAGCTTGATCTTGAGTATACGCGCAAGATCCAAACTGATCATACTCACCGACGCTCCAGTGTCCAACAGAATCTCCAGTCGCAAATCGTTCACTGCACCATGTACCGTAGTCACCTCATGCGAGTCCTTATCCGGTTCGTGATCAACCCACCATCCGTACCGCTCACCGGGTTCCAGCCGAAATTCGGTCTGCCCGTCCGGTCCTCGCGATCCAGAATGGTTCCGTGCAGAATGGTCGTCAACTTGATCAGAATCGGGTCGTCATTGCTCAGAGAAATCATGCATTGTTGGTGGTTATCTTGGTTGTTGGTCCTCAGCTCCGGTCCGACATACGCTAGCACACACAATTCAGGGGGCTTACGCCCGGCGCGTACTGGGTCCCCACCCAGCGGGCTTAGTGGTTTAACTGCCCACCTGAATCTGCCTTGTCGTCCAGCAGCTGATCCAGTATGTTCTTCGGTATGTCCTTCAGGGCTCCTTCTTGTGCCAGCTTCTTCAACTCTTCCACGGTCTTCGCAAGTCCACACAGTCCGTCATGGAACCGACCGCAGATTCTGTACGGGATGGTCTTGCACACCCGCATCGGGTGTCCTCGACGGTGACAACGGTCACACATGATGTCCATCCAGCAATTCTCTTGTCGATGTCCAGGCCTTTCACACTTCTCGCAGAACGTGCCAGTCCGAATTACTTCCTCTTGGCGACGGCGGTGCGGAGGACGGACCGAATCTCGACGCCCCTGGCTGCTGTTCCAGCGGCGGCGGTTTCCATCCTGAACCCGTCATCACACGGAACACCGCATTGCGCAGAACGTCTTCATTCAGTACCGTCAGGGTTGGATCTGGTCCGGCTGGTCGTGCCGGAGCAGGCGGGACTGGATCATGATTCGGTGCGGTCGTCAGTGCGCGGTTCTCCACTTCATCCTGAAAGCGCACGTGTCGATCCTCTTCATCCGATTCGTCTTCGCTCTGTGCGATGTAAGCACGTCCCGCAGGTTTCGGTCTGTACCGCTCGCGATCTCGGTCTCGGTCTCGGTCCCGACGCGGATGGATTGTCCGCGCGGAAGTCGCGCGGTCTGGATGAGCTCTCGCGCTCACTATCCTGGTAGTCACCTTCATGCTGACGCAGAATGAACTCCAGGTCGTCGATGCTGTGTATGCGCTAACTCTTCAGACTGGATCGCAACCTTGATTCGGAGAGGTTCCGGATGAACAGCTTGATGTGCATCTCTCGCGTCCTCGGCGACTTCTTGAAGTTCACATTCACCTTGTTCGCCCCAGCATTCAGTCGGTAGAAGAAGTCGAGGGCCGATTCGGTCCGCTTCTGAGCCATGGTAAAATTTCGCTCCGAATCGGACACCTTCGACCGACAATACTTGTTCTTGAACGCGCGGGACAACAGACTCCAGGTGTCGCGTGTGTGCCTCGGCAGTTGTTGACGCCAGTTGCGGGCAGACGAAGGCGACTTCAGACGCAGCTCGTAGACCTTCATGCTGTCCGTCCAGCCACCTTGGACCGTCAGGGTGAGGAATCGCTCCCACCATCTTGTCCGTTCTTGGTATGGAGCCTTGTCGTCGAAGTCCTCGAGCGAGCTGGAGCTCACATACGGTCTGAAATTCATCACCGTCTTACCATCCTGTGTCGTCACCGACGTGGAGTGCGTGGGCACGTTAGCCAGCGAGTCGTCCGAGTCGCTGGAGCTGTAGCCTTCGTCGTAGCCGTCATTCGAGCTCGAGTCCGGGTCAGATCCGGAGGGGTCACCGCTCTCGCGGCTCCGCCTACCGGATGGGCGCTTGCGCGCCCCAGACCCGGTGTCCCTCGCGTCCTTGGAGCCTTGCCCCTTCACGGGCGGCTTCTTGGCGTCCTTCGCGGGGGCATCTTGCTTGCCCTTCGCCGGCGCAGCCTGCGCAGGGCGCGCCTTGGTCGCTCGCGCCTTGAGAACACCATCGATCGTCGCTTGGAGTTGGGCTGCTAGAAGCTCGTCGGCGTGTGGCGTTGCAGACCCGATGGGCGCCTGGTCGGACTAAATAGGCGCACTTGCACCCGGTTGCAGAGTCGCACACCCGGTCTCTGTCTTCACTTGCGACACCGAATCAGGTCCCGATGTTGCTTGAGCAGCTGGATTTGCCTGCCGTGTTGCACGAAGGCTGTGCAACTGGTGGGCCTGAAACCGCTGAATGTTCCGCTAAGATTCTCGCTCCCTCTCCCGCTTAACTTCAAGCTTGTGGACTTTCTCTTGGAATAAATCCAGTTGAGCGTTCAGTCCCCGCTGGACGTCTTCGACCCAGCGTGCTCGGTCGGCTTCGGCCTGCGCTTCCTGCTGCTTCCAGCGCTCGGTGAACTCCGCGGTAACGCGTTCAAGCTCCAGACGCGCCGCCTCGGCGCGGGCGCTCTGAATGGCGGGGGCCACTTTGTGCTCCTGGGTCGGCGACACCGAGGAATCTCCGGACTGGATCGGGGGCTCCGGGGTCGGAGCATTCTGTCCCCATCCGGTCTGCCGACTGCCTTGGAGGGCAGCAGTGCGTCCGGCGAGCTCCTGAATCGCGTGGAACGCGTTCTGGAGTCCTTCACCCGGTCGAGCTGTGTTCGCAGCGGACGCCTCCTGGTTCAGCTCCATCCTGGCAAGGGCTTCCTGAGTCTGGCGCATCGTATTGAGCGCGACTTGGGAGGCCCCCGACATCACGGACATCGCGGAGCGGCTGGACCGACCGGATCGACTCGATCTGCTGGACCGACTCGGTGCGCGCTTCGACCTCGATGATCTTCGGTGGTGACTCCGGTCATCCTCGCTGGAATCCGACTCGCTTGGTGACGGACTCCGCTTCTCGCGCCTGGACGTCGTTCGCGGATCGGATGACGCTCTCGACCTTCGGTCACTCCGGACGGTGGTGCGATCGGACTCCGACATAACGACATCGTCCTGATCCACCGCCGTCGATGGCCGAGGGAGTGCGCTCCGGGTGATCTCCACGGTTCCTCCGCCAGTGCCGGACTGAATCATCCCCGCTTGCGCGGTCGTCACCATGGGTCCGTACCCAATCGCGGACATGTGTCTCGCGGCATCGTGTCCGGACCACAGCGACGACGAAGGCGAGCTGCCTCTGGACGACCGAGCTCCCGATGCTGCACTGAATGTCAATTCGTTGGATCCGGCCGTCGTACCGAACAAGCTCGAATCAAGATCCGAGGGCAAACGGGACGTCGGGCCGAACTGAACCAGCGCTCCGGTACCGGAAGCACGTCCAGACTCGCGGGATGCGTGGTACGAAGGGAGTGAGGAGAGCGACGGCGTGGACACCAGCGGCACGGACAGGATTGACGATGCGGACTGGATGGACGACGGGCGAGGCGGTCCGTACTGCGGGCGCTTGGAATCCGGTTCGCCGGTGGACGACCCTTGCGGGCTCCGTGTCCGCCGGAGTCCGGCCACTCGTAGACGCAGGACGAACTCGCGACCCAGTAGTCCAGCTTCGTAATCCGACATCAATAAATCTCCGTCGTTGTCTTCAGCATGGTAGTCCAGGATCGATGCTCGCACAGGCTGCTGCGGCGTTGATCCAGTGTTCCCAGCATTCGGTCCGGTCAGGTCTTGAACGTCCGGTGCATCCAGTACGATCTTGAAGGGCACACCGGACGCCAGCTCGCGCCACTCGATCAGCTCGAACGCGAGGAAATTCTGGACGTCTTCGACCACAGAGCGCACCAGGCTCGGTGCGACTCTGGAGGACTTGGACTGGAACCACATCAGAATCAGGTTGTGAAACCTGAAACCGGCAGCGAAGAGGAGAGACTGGATGAGCGCAACGCACTCGCGCGGCGAGAGAATGCTCGGCGGAATCACGATACCCGTGACATCCTGGGCAAGGCACAGCTCGAGCCGTACCGAATCAAGCTCCGCTATCCATGCAGCGTCTTGACTTGCCATTGCCATTCGGTCCGACAGGTACTTCGACGTCGCCAGCGCGGCGGCCCACCATTCGGTGAAGTTGGGTGCCGGCTCGAGCCAGGCATACTCCACCTTGAGCGGGACGACAGCGCTTTCACGATGCTGCTCCCAGCGGCGCACTTGCTCGGCCACGTACGCCTTCGCCTGAGCCTCGCTCACTTGGGCCTTGGTCTCGTCGGGTCCTCGCGAATCCGAGGGCGCCAGACCGGATTGGGCTTCAATCTTGAGCGCGGGTGCTTGGGCAGTCGCGGCCGGACCGGATGGCGCAGGGGCAGACCGGGTCTCGGCTTCGTCGTTCAGTACGCCGTCTTCTTGGACAGTCGACAGCGGGCCTTCGTGCTTGATCGACGGGGCTTCATCCAGAATCTCGACTTCGTCATCCGGCTGGGGAGAGTCCGAAACTCGACGCTCAGCCGGGGGCTCAACCTCATCGGCGCCTCCCACAGACGCCTGGGCGGGTTCATCATCCTGTGCGGACTCACCCTCATCCAGTTCCGTCGCCGGGTCTGGGGCACATTCGGTGCCGGCCGGCACAGACCGCCTCCAGGGCCTCATCCTGGTTTGCTTGGTACGCATCCAGAACGGAGGACTCCGGGGCCGCTTGATCTTGAACGGCCGCCGACGCCTTCTTCTTCTCTTCGAGGACCGCCTTGCGCTTCTCAACACCAGCTTTCCGAGCCTCCCGGACAACGTCGTCCAGGGCCTTGTGCTCCAATTGTGGGTCCTTGGACTTGGTTTAGTATGGTGCAGGACTCCCTCTCGACTCCTCGAAAGTATCCAGTCTGTTCTTCAAGGTCACGCATCACTTTGATTGCAGACTGGCTTCGAACTGACTCGAATCCCTGAAAATCAGGTGACACTCAGGGTCATCTTCTGAAATCCTGGGAATTCTGAGGAATCTTGGGGAACTGTGGGGATTCTTGGGTGTTGGCTTGGGAGACACTTCAGTTCAGTATAGAGAGTCTGGATTTATGGTCCAAACCCAGAGAATCATCTTGGAACTCTGGGTCACCTGCACTCAGGGAGGTGAACTCTGGGTTTCCGTGCGGCACTCTGGGTAACAAGTCTGCTACATTGCAGGCTCGCGTGTATCTCCACAAAGCCACACTTTTAGCGGGTTTAGCGGCCTCCTGTGCATGATCATGGTGGTAGTGGGTTGATTCTCAGGGTAATTTGATCCTCTGGGGCACTCTGAGCCACAGCAAGATGAGGTGTACTCTGGGATACATTCGCCGGAGACACTTTCCGCCAGACTTTAGGCACTCATCGTAAGGGAAAGTCCGCGGCTGGACTAAGCCTTCTCTGAAATCCTGGGCGTGCACTCCCAGGGTTCACACTTCCAGTCAGTTGGGCCCATCTGCGGTCAGGCGCTGGATTTATCCCGAGAAATCACTTCTCTCCCACAGTCGCCATCCATGTCACACGGGTACAGCCGCGCCGTATCCAAGTCATCCACCAATCAGCATCCGATACAAACTCCAAGTCATCAGGTGACGGCGCATCGTCGGCAATTTTCTGGGGACCGCCTCGTGTCACAGACAGGGTGCCGCCAAAGTGAGTGGAATCCTGGGAGTCGACAGAGTGCAACGGCCGTATCGAAGTCGACGGTGGATTATCCTCTGTGTTTTTGTGGCCTGGCCATGGTTCACCAGTTCAGAGCGATTACCTCGTTGATGGGCCCGGACCAGGAGGCGGTCCCCAGAAAATTGCCGACGATGCGCCGTCACCTGATGACTTGGAGTTTGTATCGGATGCTGATTGGTGGATGACTTGGATACGGCGCGGCTGTACCCGTGTGACATGGATGGCGACTGTGGGAGAGAAGTGATTTCTCGGGATAAATCCAGCGCCTGACCGCAGATGGGCCCAACTGACTGGAAGTGTGAACCCTGGGAGTGCACGCCCAGGATTTCAGAGAAGGCTTAGTCCAGCCGCGGACTTTCCCTTACGATGAGTGCCTAAAGTCTGGCGGAAAGTGTCTCCGGCGAATGTATCCCAGAGTACACCTCATCTTGCTGTGGCTCAGAGTGCCCCAGAGGATCAAATTACCCTGAGAATCAACCCACTACCACCATGATCATGCACAGGAGGCCGCTAAACCCGCTAAAAGTGTGGCTTTGTGGAGATACACGCGAGCCTGCAATGTAGCAGACTTGTTACCCAGAGTGCCGCACGATGACCCAGAGTTCACCTCCCTGAGTGCAGGTGACCCAGAGTTCCAAGATGATTCTCTGGGTTTGGACCATAAATCCAGACTCTCTATACTGAACTGAAGTGTCTCCCAAGCCAACACCCAAGAATCCCCACAGTTCCCCAAGATTCCTCAGAATCCCCAGGATTTCAGAAGATGACCCTGAGTGTCACCTGATTTTCAGGGATTCGAGTCAGTTCGAAGCCAGTCTGCAATCAAAGTGATGCGTGACCTTGAAGAACCGTTGTCGATGCGCAGACTGGATACCTTCGAGGAGTCGAGAGGGAATCCTGCACCATACTAAATCAAGTCTAAGGACCCATAATTGGCACTTTCGACGCCGTGCGACAATGGATTCGCAAGCCGATCGCAAGTTTGGACCGCTGAACCCAAGGTATACTCAAGACAAGACATTTGACCCCAAGCATAGTGAACAGAAGATATTTACCCGAAGAAGTAAGAGAGCGAGAGAGAGAAGTAGCTGATAAAAGACAAACAGAGTTCAATTTTCCCTGTACTGCGCAAGTGACTTCGGCCAAGCTTGCCGACGGAAATCCGGAGGACCCGAGACTACGACCGCGGGACACTAAGGGCACATCAACGGCGAAGGACAGCCGTCTGTGTGGACTCCATCAACTCAAGTCCCAGTTAGGTGGGGACCAGCGACGGCCTTGAGCTTCCTGGAGTGATCCATCTATTCCATATCCTAGTTGGGTCACTTGCTGTGCTCGTGGTAGCCCATTTCATATTATTCCGGAGGGTATTCTGGGGTGCTAGGTAGTCGCCTCCAGAATTTTGTATTGACTGCTTGTGTGAAGGGAAGGTAACTGATAGTGATTGTATTTTCCTCCTTTATTGGAGGTGGTGCGCGTTTGTGTGAGTCTCAGGGGAGCTAGGCCCCTGAATTTCAGACTCGAGTGAGCCTAGTGTGTGTGTGACCCACCGTACAAGGGTCCAAAAGAATAAGTGACGGCTAGTTGAAGTGTTTGTATACTCTGTATTTGTTGGTTTTATCGAGCTAGGACGGCATTTGGGTAAGGTGTCTTCTGAGTTCCAAGTCCCGGAGTTGACTGAAATCCTGGACCCTGAATTCGTGATATTCTGGGTTTCGAGGGATCTGATTCTCTGGGTTTGCCTTTGTTGTGGGGGTGCGTTCTGAAGTAGACGTGCACTCCCGCACTTCTTCGAGGTTACATTAACTACCGGTGGAGTGCCGTTCCGTCGAAGACAAACGAGCCGACAGGGATTACACAAGGTACCCACGCCAACCAGGGAATGTGATTTTCAGGGTTTAAAACTTTGTGGCTGCGAATCTCTGGGTCTATCTTCTTGCTGTTGGCTCTCAAGTCGATTCTCTGGGTCTACACCCTGTGGAACAGTCTTGAGCTACGCTATACGAACCCCCCTGGGCGACAAAGGTTTCATCGGCCTCGCCTCATCTGCCCAACAGGACCTATCTTCAAGGTTCTCCTCTCAAACGCAAAAGCTACAACGGGCTATGCGCGGTCACATCGCCATTTCACAGATCGTCAACATGGCGGAGAGCGCGCCTTCGGACGGCAAGCAAGCGACGGCGCCAGCTCAAGGCCCGGCGCCCCCCGACAGCGTGCCTCCTCCAACACAGCAGCGCGCCGGCGACGCTGCGAACGCCGCACCAGCGGGTAGTGACAGCGACCGGGCGGGCAACTCAGCGTCCAGCGACACTTAGGCGGACGGCACCAAGACCGGGGCAACTAAGCACGTCTCCTTCTCCGGCGACGCGGGCAAGACTTCTGACGCGGACATGCGCGAGGCCAATGGCAACGCCTCGGCTGACGCTGCAACCCAGCAAACTGGTGACGCGAACTCAGAGTCCAAGGCTCCAGACGCAAGCGGCGCAGCTTCGGACGTGAACATGGAGGGCGCCTCTGAATTCAAGACGCCGCGCCATGCGACGCTGGAGGACGTCAGGGGGCTCATCTTCGCAAGCATGCTTCGGCAGGAGGAGGTCGACCTCCCTAACTTCCTGGTCCCTGAACGTCCAACACACTGGAAACTGCCGGCTCCGCCGAACCTCAAGACCAACGCGCATCTCGTGGGAGTCCCTGGGATCATGAACAACATTCGTGGGGGCGCGTTAGGCATGGAAGGCTACGGCGGCGCGACTACGCTGGTCGGCTTCGAGGAGCTCTCAGACGAGCATCTCAGGGGTTGAAGGAAGTCTGTGGCGCCGACGCTGGGATCGATGTCCTATGTCCACGTCGTTCGCCTCTTTCGGCATTCGAGCTGGACAACACCCTGAATTCCATCGGTATTCGACGTGAGATGGCTTCACTCCTGAGTCGCTTCAACAGCACAAGGCTCGCTGGGCGAGTGTTCAAGATGACTGGTTACCTGCGTCGCGTCCTTGAAGCCTTCAGGCACATGCGCTCCCTAGCTGATTCCCAGCAGGGTACTTCCGCTGTCCAAGACACGGCCGATACGCGGCGCAAGCACAAGGAATTGAAGCGCGCCTGGAAATTCACGTCTGACTACTGTTTTCTGGAGATTCAAGAGGCTCTGGGTAAGGCGGATTCCGCTGGGGACCTGCAAAAGGCTGCGTTGCAGGAGCAGAAGGCGCGATACCAGGACGAGATCGATTCCCTGGAATCCGAGAAGGCGCAGCTCAAGGCGCGCCTGGCGAACTCTGAGGCTCAGGTGCGGATCCTGAAATCGCGACTCGAGTCTGCTGCGGTGGATCCCTGGAAGTTCTCTGACTTCCTGCAGGAACACACTGAATTCACGGGCAATTGGGAGCGTCTCCACGACCTCTTCAAGTTCTGCATCAAGGACTCGAAGCCTCCTGAATCCTGGGACACGGTCGTCAACGTCACGGCCATGGACAAGCGCAAGGCGGTGGCGCCCCCGTACCCAGAGAAGAACACGCGAGTGTCTCCGTCCTCAGGGTCTGGGTCGTCCAGTCGTCCTGAAATTCTGGATCTCTCGGGTCCTGGCAGCAAGCCTCGCAGCGGTTCGAAAAGCGGGGGCAAAACTCAGGATTCCAAGTAATCTCAGGGCTCCAAGAAGGGTCAAGGCTCCAGAAAATCACGGGACTCTGAGGCGCCAGACACACAGTCGTAGTCCGCGAACTCCAAGGTTCACAAGGTCCAGCGTCGTCCCAAGAATCATCAGCCTGGCCGCGACTCTGTGCGTCGCGCCGGCGAAAAGACTGTGGTGTCCAAGGAGGCTGCGCACGCGATGCTCCCTGGGGGTATCGTCTGGAAGGAAGTTCGACCAGACGTGCGTCAGGCCATTCTTGCTGGGCTCAAGTACGACACAGCCATGGAGTGGATAGGCAGTGACCGGGCGGCTCACGGGCATTTCCGGCTGCCGCAGCTGATCAAGATGATCGTGAGCAGCTTGATGCAGCCATTCACCACGCGATAGTCGATGCACATCCGGATGTCAACACCATTCTTCTTGAGGACGATCACGATTGGAGATGCCCAGGGGGACGTAAAAGTCTCGATCAGCCCGTTCTCCAGAAGCTTCTTCAGAAGTTCATACACCTTGGTCCACAGGTGTGGTTCAATGGACGCAGGGTTTCAGCGGCCGTATCATCTTCAGGACTCATGCACTCGGGGTTCCGACAGCCTGCGAGGCAACATCGGTCACCGCCTGCTTCAGAACGTCACCCAAGTCACTCGTATCAATAGCAACGTCTCGGAGTTCAGGAGGGTCTTCAGGGGGCACCTCTTCAGTCTGGGTTGCAGCGTCTTCAGCGAAGCGCACGCGACGAGTCTTCGGTTTCCTGAGAATCGAGGCAAGCAGTGCCAAGTCGGGGCCCTTTGCAGGTCGCGACAGAATCTTCGTAGGCCACTGATACTCTGGGGTCTTGACACAGGATGGTTCCAGCGCATCCAGGCGTTCCGCACGAAGTCTGCCCTCACGCGACTGAACACTCTCCAGAATAAGAGTCTGCCACTCCCGGTACGCAAACGATCCAGGGCGCGCAAAGCGTCCGGCACGTGGGAAGAAGCCATACTCCACAATTCGGGCGACTAGCGTTCTGTTGTGAATCCAGACGTCCTTGTCCGAGATTTTGACCACCTTCTCGGTGGCCGGCCAGCGTCTCGCAGCGTAGATCAGGTGCGTTACCCAGCGGTCGCCTCGTCCTGCCCACACAACCTCACGCGGTGGGTTCGTCGGTCCATACGAAATCTTCACCACCTTGGATTCTCCAGGGGCCAGGTGTGGTTTCCACGGGCATGTCGACACCCAGGCGATCCTCTGGAGGCCATCCACACATCATGATTGCCTCTTCATCGGGGAGTGTCACGAGACCTTCGCGAACACTGATCCTCACTCCAGCTGCAAACATGAAACTCATTCCCAGAAGTACTTCGATCCCTTCGCAGATGTTAGCAATCCAGACATCCAGGAGATATATCACCCTCGAACCGAGAGTAATCTTCACCTGAGCACTGGCACCGATGTACGTCGGAACGCCTCCCATGCCAGACACCTTGGTCTGTTTGTGCGACTTGAGTGTGAGTCCGAGCTTACGCGCTAAGTCGAAACTCAGAATATTCACAGTCGCACCGGTATCCAGGAGAACTCTCGTCCGGCAGTCGTTCACAGCACCATGCACCATCGCCACATCACGTTTCTTCGGGTCAGGATCATTGTTTTCCCAGCATCCGTAACGAGCTCCAGGGTTCAGCTTGTACTCCACAATTTCCTCAGAGTTCACCGACCCAGAGTTCGCTTGTTCAGGATGCTGATTTTCAGGGGAAGTCATGAAATCCTGAGTCAAAGTAGTCATGCATTGTTGGTTATCTTGGATTCTTGTTCTCAGCTCCGGGCCTACATACACTAGAACACATAACTCTGGGGCCTTTGTCAGCCCGGCGCGTACTGGGTCCCCACCCAGCGGGCTTATTGGTTTGACAGCCTCCCAGAGTTTGCTTCGCCATCCAAGAGTTTATCCAGGGTTTGGCTCGGCATGTCCTTCAGTGCTCCTTGGCGGGCGAGTTTCGTCACAGCGTCCAGTGTCTTCCAGTCTTCACATGGTTTCCCGAGATGTAGTTTGCCACAATTATCGCACGGTTGCGCGCGACACAAGTGAGTCGGATGACCCACTTCCAGGCAGCGATCACACTTCACATCTTTCCAGCAGTTCTCCTCTGGGTGCCCCCACTTACCGCACTTCTCGCAGAACTTGCCCCAATTCGGGTTCTCGCGGCGAGGGGAACGGAATCCAGAGTTTCCGTTCAGTCCTGGTTGGGCGTTCGGTGGACGCCACCCCATGTTATCCATCACGCGATAGACCTCGTTCGTCAGCGTCTGAGTCCACTCGGCACCCTTCATACTCGCCAGGCTCCCAGCGCTAGACGTAGAAGCTTCTTCTCCAGAGATCTGTGGTGTATCGGGATCGGCCAAAATCTGTTTAAGGCCTGATCGAGCTTCCCACCAGCGCCCAGACACCGACTAACGGAGGGGGTCCCCCAACGATCCGTGATCGGCTGAACTTGTTCTCGCCTTGTGTACCCGTCGGCGGCCTGGATCCGCTCTCTCGGGGCTCCGAAGATGCAGCACGTGGTGAAGATCGAGTGTCTTGGCGTGACGCGGAGATAGTTTGTGGGGCAGCGCGGTAACCTTCGCTCTGTGTCCGAGTATTCGCTCCGATCGAGGGTTCTCCGCTTCGATCGGTCGGCCTGGAGTAGATCCAAGGCCGGTAGTTGCCTTTCCGGGTGTGTTCCTTCCTTTCCTGAGTTGCTTGCCGCTTCCTATAGCGGGATCGAGGTTGATCGAGAGGAGAAACGATCGCCGGCCAAGCACTAATATCCGGTCGATTGAGGACTTGCACACAAAAGATAGATAGCTAGAGTAGGTCAAGCTGGCCAATGTATTAATCCAGTCTTAACCGTACCACTAGTTCACTGTCCAAAGTGTCGATGCTTGCCGAGGCCAATGTGGTTCCTGGGACTTGACGACTTGAGGGGACTTGTGTTCTTCGGTGCAAATTCTGCTCTGATTTATGTTTAGCTGGTATCTCTCTACCGCTACCATCTCATCTACCATCCTACAACTAAACAACCACTGGATTCTTGTCCTGACTTCGTCCTCCATGTGCATCCCATCGCGGTCGATCCCCGATCCACGATCATCCCACAATCGGCTCCCGATCCACAATCGGCTCCCGATCCACGATCGACTCCCGATCTGCGATCGACTCCCGATCTGTGATCGATCCCGATCGGCGATCGGCGATCACCTCTCGATCGACGACTTGTGCCGGTTGCCGTACGCCGCCGATCCATCATCTTCCGTCCTCGGCCGTCCTAGATCTGCGAGATCTGTCGTCGATCGGGACTTGGGTCGGCCTCGAATCACGCCACGGTTCGAACGCGATCATCCACAATCTAGCTTGCCACATGTCCTGCCTTACGCGCCGGCGTCATCGGGCCACTTGAGATCTCCCGAAGAACTCCCTCTGATCCATAGATCCTCGCTGCCTGTCTCTCGATCGCTGACCCCCCATACTTCCAGTCGATCGGCCCTGCCGCCTTTCTCGGAGATCAATTCTTATTCAGCACTTCTCCACATCAGTTGTGTCGCACGGCGTCTCACTTCGGACAGTTCGACCTTGGTTATTCTCCAATTCGCCGGCTCAAGCACGGACCACTCACAGATGAGCACACCGCCGCCCAACCCGCCTGTGCCTCCGTCCGGTCCGCCGGATGACGACGGTTCGACGCATGGCTCGCCCCGATCGACTCATTCGACACCTCGATCGACGCGATCGACGGCCTCCTGCCGTGCCGCGGCCTCCCCGGATGCCGTCCGCCGAATCGCCCGCTTGGAAGATGAGCTGGCATGCGCCTGCGCTTCCCGATCGTCTATGATCCGCGACGGGCGCGCCAGGACGTCACCGTGCGCGAGCTGACTGCGAACCTGCACGACTTGGAACGCCACCGCTGGGCGCAAGAGGAAGAGATCCGCCGCCTTCAGACGGAAGTCAGCGACCTTCAACAGAGTGCCTAGGGTCAGGGTCCGCAGCTGATCCAAGGCCTCCGGGATCAGATAGCCCTGCAAGCCGCCGAGATCCAGGATCTGGATCGCCAACTGACACGCGCTCAGGCCCATCTCGCGACTGCTAACGCCGATGGTGATCGACTGGACCACCAGCTCGATCTCGCCGCGGCGGACATTTCGGATCTCCGATCGCAGGCTTCTGGGCAAGAGCGCGAACTAGACGAGGTGAACCACGAGCTAGACCTTACGCGCGGCAGCCTCGATCGGGTCCAGACTGCCCTTCGAAGCCACCGTGGTCCAGCGAGGTCACGTTGCGGCTGCGGCAACTCCGACCGTTCCGACCACTACGCCTCCCACTGGACCCACGCCCTCCCAGGATCAACTGCAAGCTGCCCTCCTCTGGGTAAATGAGGAGCTGGATCTGATGCGTACCGCCCGAGATACCGCAAGAGACCAAGCCACCGCTGCCGTGAGAGACGTCGATCAAGCTCATCAAGACCGCGATGCGGCACTCCGAGAGAATGCCGATCTCCGTACGTAAGCTTCCCATACCACCTATTCCGTTGCCGATCGCCGCTCATGCTGTCGCTGTGCTACAGGATCGTGTCTCGAAAGTGCGGAACAGGTGATACGGGCCCAAGACGCCCAATTCCTCGACGTCCAGAACGCCTACGCTATGTTGCGTCACACCAGCGATCGATCCAGCGAGGATCTCAAGAATGTGGCTGACACGTTGTCTCGCGTAGCCCGGTGGATCGGGCTTCGTCAGTGCGCGCCGATCACGCCTGGCCGTCGCAGCCGCAGTCGCTCAGGATCTCCGGACTCTACCGGCCACATCCACAAGCGTGCCCGATCGGCGCCTCCACCCCGCAGTCGATCTCAGAGTCGGTCGCCCGCTCGGTCTCCCTCGCCGTCCTTCTCGTTACACGGTAGTGATGAGGAACTTCCGGCTGGGGTCAGCATGCTGAAGATCAGCCTGCTTCCGATCCAAACGAGCAAGAGGGATCGGACCAAGACGGGTCCGGCTCGCAACCTCGATCTTCGCAGAGAAATCAGTCGGAAGAGGGGGAGTCGTCTCCGGCTAGATCTGCGGCCAACGAAGAAGGATCCGAATCGGAGGGGCCCAACCAAGAGACCGACGAAGAAGAAGACAAGTCGGAGGGGTCTGTCAGGAGGCGCTCGCAGCCTTAGCTCGGTCCCGATCGGAGGCCCGTCGCCGTCAATCTGCCTCGCCAGCCCGTACCCACACTACACCGGCTCGCTCGCGATCGCGATCGCCCTCCGTCATGTCAATTCACTCCCCATCCGGATCGGCTCACTCCCAATCGTCCCACGGAACGCATCAGTCCCGTCATGGCTCACCTAGATCGACGCCTCCGGGATCCCCGCCTGGTTCTCCACCTGGATCGCCGAGGCGTCTTCCTCTGATCCCGCCGTTGTTCTCGATCGGCACCATGATCCCGGGTTTCAACGCCCCCAGGGCACTCGTTCAGGGTGATACGGACCCCTGGCCTTCGATCCTGCTAAGGCAGCTACAGATCACAGCCATGATCCTGTCGATGCTGACCCAGCATCTTCTCCTACCCGAGGGGTGGCTCTTCCCGCTCGCCATTCGGGGCACTGCACAGCCTGCCGCCGGGATCGGCTATCGAGACAACCTCATCACCGGACCTAACATTACCGCGTTGATGGCCGATCGCCCCTGACAGGTGCTGCAGAACCCGGCCAACCCGTTGACTTTCGATCTGGCACTCCATCGAGGCACCGGCACTCGATTGGGTCCGATCGCCACTGCCTAGCTTCAACTCGAAGAGCAGCATCGCCAGGCCTTTTGGGAAACCACTCATTATCTTCCGATCACGGCCGCACAGCGCCGGGACCCGATCGTTGAGCAATACCATCGCGATCGCTGAGCCCGACGGATCCGCCTCGGTGATCGGTGTCGCCGACTCCTCGACGCGATGCTGTCGATGATGCGAGAGATGTGGGCAAACGTCGATCTGCTGCTGCACCCGTTCTTCTTGCAGATCCCGGTGCGGTGTCTCGCGCTGCGAATGCTGGCGACCCCACCCAGCACCAAGGTGAACCGACCGACCTCAGAACGGCCCTGATCGAGGCCGACACCCATGACCCCTGGCGGAACCAGTGTCGCGACCACCCCCAGGACCATCCAGCTCAACGGATCGCGCGCCTCCGCAACAAGTTCAACCCCAACGTCGGCGCCCAGCACCAGCCATGACATGATCGCCGTCTCTGCGATCGGCTTCCGTAAGTAGCGAACCAGTCGACCATTACAACTCCAGAGTCGGAGTGACTCGGAGGCCGATCTTCCATACGCGTAGCGCGGAATTACTCAGATTGATCAATTCCATCTTAATAACCCACATTCTTCCTTGATCTTCCACTGTTCCCCGTCAATCCATTCGTTGTTAATTCGATCGGCCAAGATCTGTCCTCATGCCTTCCTGTACTCACTCCATAACCGTCCGATCTGCACTCACATACACTCATTCGTTCATATACAACCCCTTCCTCCGGTCAACGGCCTCCCCGTCGATCCGTCATCCATCTCGCTCACCAAGGTGACCAGCTGACCCTGGCGGTCCGATCTCACTCCTCCTCGTGAGACTGCATTCGCGCCGAATCGGTTCCGGCTCGCGCGATCTTGAAGGAACTCGTGTAATAAAGCTCCACAGTTGAGATCAGCTTCGTCGACCCAGTCAGGCTCGTCGTAACCCTTCCAGTGTACCAGGAATTCTCGATAAGTCCGGCCGTACCGCGTCCTTCAACCCGTCCGCATATTCGTGATCTTCTCCACTTCGTACTCGTTCGAGTCTCGATCTGGGGTCCAGCTGTCCTCAGGAGGTAAGACTTCGTCGAAATTAAGTCGATCTGTTTCGTCCACCGTAAGCGAGATCTGCGGTCGATCGGTGAAGTCCCTGACCAACTTCAGCTTCGAAACATGCACGATCGGGAACAGGTGATAGTCCGTACCAGCGATCTGAAGCTTCATCGTGTACTCATTCACCTTCTCCGCAACGCGGAACGGGCCGTGCCACAGGTGAGCCAGCTTCCGGGCATACCCCTCTTTTACATAATCCAGGTACAGCCACACCTGAGATCCAGCCTCGATCGAGTGTGGTCGAACTTCTTCATTGTGTCGATCGGCCCGATCCGCGATCGCCTCGCGTAGGCGACATTCACCTGACTTCAAGCCTGATCGTAGTGCCTCTGGATCTGATAACGCCACCGTCGAGGATTCCGATCCCGCGTCCGAGTGCTACCCAAAGGTATCATCGCCTCAAGCGTCGATCGAGGATCCCAGCCATGCACCAGATAAAAAGGGGAGTCTCCACGGACTCGATCTTGAGCCGTGTTGATCGCGAAGGTCAATCGTTCTGCGTACTCATCCCAATCTCTCTGATCCAGATCCTCCACGAACATCTTCAGGGCTCTCGTCGCCGTCTGTACCATTCGCTCTGAAGTACCGTTAGCTTGAGGTCGATGGCATACGACCTATGCCATTGTCGCTCGCTGACGCATACCCAGGATCTTGTTAAAGGCGCGGAAGAAATCGGCCATAAATCCCGGTTCGCGATCATGCCTGATCACCTCGCTAGCACCAAATCGCCGGAACACGCACTCTTCGTAAGACTCGGCGATCGTCTGCGTCGATCGGGACGAACTGGCCTTCGCGATCACGTATCCCGTGAACAGATCGACCCAGATCAACAGTTCCGTATTACCCTTGTACGACTTCGGCAGCGAAGGTATGTGATCCATCGCTACGATCTGGAACGGGTATGTCGCCTGGATGTTCCACGGCGACTCGCCCCTGATCGTGGGTCGTCCTTTGCCGGTCTCGCAGTCGACACATTCACCGACGTACTTTTGCACACTCCTGAAGAGACCTCTCCAGTGAAAGTGATCGCGGATCCGCTGATAGGTACGCCCGATCCCCTGGTGTCCCCCTTCCAGAGTGGAGTGATAGTGACGCAAGATATCTTGATGCAGCGTCTCTGGTGCAACCAGTCTCATCAGTCCATCTCGTTTTGCCTCCGATCGCTTGGAGGGTGGGCAATAGAACAGCAGATTATCTCCGTCGTAACCCGCTGCGATGTTGCTATAGGATCGAGCCTCATCCTGCGTCTGATCAGCCACATCTCCCATCAGGTACTTCTTCATACCCGCGATCCACGTTTCTTCATCTTGAGCTCGACGAATTCGATCGATCCGCAACCCTCGCACGAACTCCTCCTGCATGACGGTCGGGTTCGACCGTGATCTGGCGCCCGATCGGGTGGTCATCGGCGATAGTCGGGCGATCGACTCATCCGATCGAACAACCAGGATCTCATCAAGTCGGTTCAGTGTCACTAGATCCCCATGATCGACCTCATCCTCGACGATGATGCCCCCTTCACGTTGAAGTGCTGCACTGGCTAGGCTGTCTGCACTTCCGTTCCAGTCTCGTTTCACATGTAACAGCTCGTGTTCTGGCCAGTTCCGTAGTTGGTCCAGAACCTTCTGCTTTAACAATGTCAGCTTAGGTGCTTTGCAGTCAATCTCGCCCCGTACTTGCCGGATCACCAGGTTGGAATCACCGCAGACCACCAACCTGCCTCGATCTACGCCGTCAAGGAGGTCGAAACCCAACAACAGATCATGATACTCCGCCTCGTTAACAGTCAACCCTTCAACATAGCCCGATCGTGCCTTCACCACACTCCATTCGGGTAACTTCCACAAGATCGCGCTGTACGCGCCCCCGCCTCGCTTGACGCGGGCGGATCCATCGAAACTTATCACCAGCAGATCTTCGTCTACGCGCACAGTCGGGATCGGGGCTTGAATCTCCCGCCGGGGTTCTTTCTTCGGCGCGATCGCGATCAACGCGTCGTCCATATCCGATCGAGGCGTAATACTAGCGGCGATCGCGCCCAATATCTCGTCCTCTCCCTTGGTGCACTTCGTGATCACCAGTGTGCAGGGCGATAGAAGTGCAGCCCACTGACCCAATCGGCCTTGAAGACCGGGTGATCGAAACAGCCACGCCAACGTCGAGTGTCGGGTCAATACCCGGATCGATCGTCCAACCAGCATGTTATAGTTCAGGTCCAGGATCCGTAACAGCACCAGCACATTTTTCTCCACCACATTATAGTTCAATTCATTCGACTTCAGCGTTCGACTGGCGAAGGTAACGGGATAATAGATCTGGTCGTGCTCCTGCATCAATGCGGCCGAGATCGCCCAGTCACTCGCATACACAATCCCGACCGGATTCCGATCGCGATCGAAGTGCCGCAGGATCGGTGTCGTCGCAATCTTCATCTTCAGCGTCGAAAAGGCACGATGAGCAGGGATCCAGCGTTCATCGGCAACACCGACTTCAGGAACTGATGGAGTCCGATCGGTGTTCACTGGGTCCGTATCCACTAAGTTCGGTACTTGACGATCCAGGATCTGGCGCAGATCGGGGCGTTTCTTCTGCTCGGCGAAGTCCACCTCGCGCAGTTCGTACAGGATCGCCGCGTAGATCGCGTAATCTTCCAAGAAACGGCTGTAATAATTGAGACTGCCCAAGAACGACTGCATCTATCTGAGCGATCCGGGGAACGGCAGATCGGTCAGAGCGGTGAGGTCCCTCGGATTGGCTTCCAGCCCGTCGTTCGACACACGATGTCCCAGATAGTCCACCTTACATCTCTGATCCAGATCCCCCAAGAACTCTTCAGGTCAATCGTTCTGCGTACTCATCCCAATCTCTCTGATCCAGATCCTCCACGAACATCTTCAGGGCTCTCGTCGCCGTCTGTACCATTCGCTCTGAAGTACCGTTAGCTTGAGGTCGATGGCATACGACCTATGCCATTGTCGCTCGCTGACGCATACCCAGGATCTTGTTAAAGGCGCGGAAGAAATCGGTCATAAATCCCGGTTCGCGATCATGCCTGATCACCTCGCTAGCACCAAATCGCCGGAACACGCACTCTTCGTAAGACTCGGCGATCGTCTGCGCGACGATCGGGACGAACTGGCCTTCGCGATCACGTATCCCGTGAACAGATCGACCCAGATCAACAGTTCCGTATTACCCTTGTACGACTTCGGCAGCGAAGGTATGTGATCCATCGCTACGATCTGGAACGGGTATGTCGCCTGGATGTTCCACGGCGACTCGCCCCTGA